ACACGTGCGAGCGATGCCGAGCGAGCCGAGCGATGCGGATTTTGGATGAAAAAATACAAAACAAAACAAAACAAACCAAAACAAATACTCCGAAATTTTCAAAATGGTATATAAAAATAGTACACGGATTGTTTTCTTGTTTCAAATACTCCTCCTGCAGAGGGACAGGCCCGATTTCACATTAACAAAAGGCGGGGGGATCCAGGGTGGGGCGGCCGCCCTCTCAAGCGGCGGGGGAGGGGGAGGCCTACGAGGGCAGATGGCTTCTGTGAAACCCGCCCGCCGCATGATAAAAGGCCTCTCACAGGCCCCTGCGGCATGCTACAGTCGGGGCGTTGACCTAAGGAACGATAAATAAGGAACGAGGCCCCTATTTTCCATAAGTTGAACTTCGATTTCGTATCGAAAACCTGAAGAAAATCCAAGGCAAACTGCGAAACAATTAAGGAACACGGAGCCCCTCCCCAACGAAGAGGGTTCCTTCTTCGGGGCCCCGACTGTACTTGGCATCGCTCGGGCGCGTGCACTTGTTCGGCAAGGACCATCGAGGACCAGTGCTGCCCACCCTGCGAAAAACACGCCCACGAACAACCGAGACATGCACAGGGCATGGACGTCCGAGCGATGGCGAGCTTAACTAAGCTCTAAGATTAGGTCGGGCATGCCCCCCCTACAGGCAGATTCTGGAAATCAAAACAAAACATGTTCAAACAATACTCTGCACATGCCCCGAAACAGTACGATAGTCGTCCCTGGATGTATCTCAGTATTTTGTTTTGGAGAGTTTCCCCCCTGCGGAGTGACGTGCCCGACTCAACTCTACAGTCATCGGCCTGACCTAAGGAACGATAAATAAGGAACGAAGCCCCTTTTTATCCCTAGGAATAACGCATAAGGAACGATAAATAATATATAACGCATAAAGAGCTGTAAATAACGCATGTAAAACCTAAGGAACGACCGAGCCCCTTTTGAAAAGTAAGTGCTCCTTATTCAAGCCGCTCGCTCTAAGACGCCACCTGTTTTCTTAGATGTCTCCCCGCGCCTTGCCAGAAGGCCGCCCCCCCCCCCCCCCCTCGCGCCGCCCGCTGCCCTCCGCGCGCCGCCAGCGCGACCCCCGCTCCGGTGCTGCCCCGCCCCTGGGCCCCCGATGGCTACACAGGGGCCCACAGGGGCACACAAAGAAATGTACACACAAATCCCAGACTTCCCCATGTTCCCCCCGCCCCCCCCCTCTTCTCCAGGTTTCGTCCTCCCCCCGCACGTCCCACACTTTCCATTCATGGTGTGTGTGTGTGTGTGTGTGTTTTCTTCCCCTCCTCCGGGGGCAGCCTCGACGTGCTCTGCTCGATGCGCGGCCCCGGGGCTGCTCCCGGCCCTTCCCCCCCGCCCTCCTCCTCCTCCTCCTCCTCCTACTCCCCCTGTTCCTCTGTTCTCCTCCTCCTCCTCCTCCTCCTCCTCTCCCTCCTCTCCGTGCTCCTCTCCTCCTCCTCCTCCTCCTCCTCCTCCTCCTCCTCCTCCTCCTCCTCCTCCTCCTCCTCCTCCTCCTCCTCCTCCTCCTCCCCCCCCCTGGGGGTAACGGCCCCTGCAAGCCCCGGGTCCGTGCCGCGAGGCCCCGCGGGGAGCCCGACGTGGAGCCCCAGAGGCCGGCACGAAGGAGACACGCTGGGATTGAATCGACTACAGTCAAAAACCCAAATAAGGACGTGCGACTTTGCTCAGGGTACCCTTGCGTCCTTGCTCTTCCTTGCTCTTGCGTCCTTGGGGTTTTCGTCGTCCGCCGCCCCAAAAATCCCAACTTCGGCTTCCAAGGGTCTTGCGTCCCTGCCGCGCGTCCTCATTAGGGTTTTTGACTGTACGCGTAAGAGTGACCTTTCGCTGGAGTGGCCCCCTGGGGGTAGCTCTGCATGCCCCGGGTCCGTGCTGCAAGGCCCCGGCCACGGGGCACGACGTGGAGCCCCAGAGGTCGCGAACAAAGGACACACGCTGGGATTGAGTCGACTGCTCCCAATCCGCCCTCCCGCGGCCTCCCGCAAGCAGCGCACCCAAGGTCACTCTTCTTGCCTGGGGTCCCTCTTGCGAAGGAGAAACGCTGGGATTGAATCGACTACTCCGAATCCCTTGTTCATCGTCCCCCGGGTCAAATTTTATTAGGGCGCCTTTTCTGTAACTGGGGGGGTCTGGTTCATTATAGGGCGCTTTCTCTGGATTGGAGCCTAGGGGGTCCGGTTGATTCAGGCGCCCCGCCGAAGACGGGGGTCCAGAATATCAGGTCGCACTTGGAGGGGGGTCCGGTTTTTTAGGGGGGGGTCGATTAGGAAAGGATTTGGGGTACGCGTAGGAGTGTCCTTCCGACAGAGTGCCCTCCAGTGCGGGCCCACTGGGGCCCCCGATCGCCGAACTCGATGCGATCGTGGGCCCTCCCGCGGCCTCCCGCAAGCAGCGCACCAGAGGCCACTCTTCTTGCCTGGGGTCACTCTTATGCGCGCAACCGATTGGAACAAAAGCATGTCCGAGGCTATAGGGTTCGCTCTAGGCCGGCGGCCCAGGCAGGGTCCATTTCGAGCTGACCGACCCGACTCGATCCCCGTCCCGTCCAACCCGATCCGACTCGGTTCCGTCACGCTGGCGATCCGATGCGGCCCGATGGATGCATGGCGCAGTTGTGCTGCTTGGCGCGACCACATCGGCTCGCTTTCGACTCCGTGCCGACGCGGCCCGATCCGACGCACACTTCGACTCGGTCCAACGTCCCGATTCGATACTGCTTCACTCGGTAGAAAGTCGTGGAAGGCTAGTATGCCCTCGTAAGTCCGCAGTTAGAGTCCACTGGCGTCGATTAGCATCTGGCCATCGACGAGATAGCGCCGATGTAGCGCTAATTTGCATCGACTAGCGTTGCCTTGGCGTCGATCAGCGTCGACTCGCAAGAGCGAGCAAGATGGCATGACAGGCTCCCACGAGTTTTAAGTCGGGCCTGTCCCCCTACAGGGGGATTTCTGGTGGAAAAGTACAACATTTCAAACCAGATTCCCAAAATGCTACAAAATAGTCCCCAGACTATTTCTTACTATTTTTGAATCTCTCTCCTGTAGAGGGGCAGGCCTGACTTAACACGAGTTGCCACCGAAGACTGATCCTTGGCGGCAGCACAGCCCACCCGCACCCCCAGCCGAGACCCCCGCGCCCGACCTGGCGATCAAGGAGGGCCTCGCTCGGGGTGGGTTCCCAAGCCACCTTCGCTCTCCGCCAGAAGCCCCCTGGATCACCGGGTCGCTTAGCTGCCTCGATACGCCCGTTTTCATACGCGTGCCGTGTTCCAAACGTCCGTGTCAATACGGTGCGTGTTAGCTCGGCGTATTGGCCCATATCGGGGCAGCTAAGCCGGGTCGGGAGCACAAATCCTGGCTGGTGGTGGGGGTTGGCTGTGCCGTCCTCGGTCCTGCCCAGATCCGACGGTGAGCAAAGGGGGGGGAAGCGAGAAGGAGAAAGCCTTCTCGGAAGGTTCGGAAGCCCCCCCCGCCTTCCAAGAGAAGTTTTCGGAGCCTTCCCCGAAGACAAGGAAGACTTCTCAGAAGGCGCGAGGGCTTCTGAGAAGCCCCGCCGCCTTCTGAGATGTCTCGCCGTCTTGCGAGAAGGCCTTCTACTACCTCCAACCCGCATCGTAAGGATAGGCAACCTTCCCAAGGGTAGCCTTGCATCCTTGCCGCTTCGACCAATCCTCAGCGACACTCGCTGGCCCACCTCGCTCGAAAAACGTTTGCATGGCCCTCCAAGGCCCGTGCATCCTCACCGCGCATCCTTCTGCTACGCGTCGGCAGTACTTCCTCTCGCTTTCCTCCCGAACACTTGTGAGAAGGCCGGAGGGCTTCTGAGAAGCCCCGCCGCCTTCTGAGAAGGCCTTGCCATTTTCGCCCCCCTCCTCGCTCGCCGCCGATCAGGGGCCCAGCGGCGCTGAATTCGTGGCGAGCAGTGCCCAGATGGCGGGCAGGCGATCGCCCGACCTGGCGGCGCCCGCGGTAGGTGGCCGAAGGTTGCGCGGGAGGGCCGTCGTGTTGCGTACACTCGACCAGGATAGTAAGGATGCGCGGTAAGGATGTAAAGGGCCTCGGAACGCCGTGCTGACGTTTTCCGTGCGGAACGCAGCAGGATGCCGAAGGATGCCGGATACCGAAGGGGCAAGGATGCGAGGGTAGCATTGGAAAACTGCCCCATCCTTGCCATCATGGTTAACTGTAAAACGGGAGGTAATATAAGAATCGTGATGCTGAACTTTGGCGTTCTGTGCAACACTGGTCTGCACATCCGTCTAGTTGCTGGTGGCGGCCGTGTTGTCCCTCCAACGTGCAGCTGCTGACCCTCGTGCTGCGCATTCGCGCATGTGGGAGTCCTGCAGCTGCGTTCAAGAGCGCTGTTCATCGCCGGGCAACGGAATCCGCTGAGTCCCGTCATGGTGCCCATCGTTGTGCTGCTGGGCCACGTCGTGCTGTTCATCCTCACGCTTGCAGTGGCAGTCGTGGCTGGGCCCCGCCGCGCTGCTCACAGTCGTGCTGCTGCTGACCGTCGTGCCCGCAGAGACGCGGAGGGAGGAACCACGATGCCGAGCCCAAGCCCCATCTGGTCCGGCTTCCATCTGTAGGTCTAGCGCGCTGGCCCGACTCTGGGACGGCTGCACTCGTGGCCACGGGGAGCCCCTTAGAGGCCCCCAAAAGGGTTACAAGCATCATGGAGCCTCGTTCCTCGAGCCTCGACCCTCTCGCTCCCTCCTCCTCCTCCTCCTCCTCCTCCTCCTCCTCCTCCTCCGCCTGCTCCTCCTCCTCTTCTTCCTCTTGTTCTTCTTCCTCCTCCTCCTCCTCCTCCTCCTCCTCTTCCTCTTGCTCTTCTTCCTCCTCATTCCTCCTCCTCCTCCTCCTCCTCCTCCTCCTCCTCCTCCTCCTCCTCCTCCTCCTCCTCCTCCTCCTAGCTCCTCCCCCCCCCCACCCCACCCGCGCCCGCACCGCCTGGCTCCCACGAAGGCCGTGGCCCCGGGGCAGGCGTACGCCCTGCAGCCCGGGCACCTCGCGGGCTTGCCTCCCGCCTCCAGGGCGACGGCGGGCACCTCTGCGGGCGCCCCCACTCGGGGGCTGCTGGGCCCAGGCCCCCTCGAGCAACGGATGCTGCAGAGCGCTCTCCCCCTCCTCCTCCTCCCTCCTCCTCCCTCCTCCTCCTCCTCCCTCCTCCTCCTCAGTCGCGGGGCCTCTTTTCCCCGCTCGTAGTGCCCTCGGTGCACCACGCAATGCTCCAGGGCCCTCGGGCCCACGCGTGCGCCCCGCGCACGCGTCCTGCATGTGGCCTTGAGCCAACGCAGCGGCGGTCACGCCGCTGTGCCGTCGCCGTCGGGGCGGGGGTCCAGGGCCGTGTTCTCGACTCTGGTGGTGAACGTGTTCAGGTCATTGATCTCTGGCTCGCAACTGACCTCCCACGAGTACGTGCCCATGAACCCCACATGGTCGGCCCAGTCCACGCACCAATCAGTCTTCCCGGACTGGTCCGTCATGCACATAATTTCGAGCTCGCCCAGCAATGGGCGGAACCCCGAGGACTGACTGCCTCAGCAGTATCCTCGCCGGGACGCTATGACTGGGGAGTGCCCGGCGATGCGTCCTTACGAGGCCCAGACCCGCGTGGCGACTTAGCGTACTGACGCCGGTCCAGTCCTTCATCTGGATGTCCAAAAAAACCATGAACACCGCGGTTTTCACGACCGTGCTCAACTCGAGCTGGCACTCTGGAGCACACGTCCTGAAGATGTCCACGGTAATGCCTCGTGTACCGTCTTCCACTCGCCTCGTGCAACGCACCTCAGTGCGTCTCGTAGAACAGCTCCTTTTGTTAGTCCATCTGCACAACAATCCCTTATGTCGATCCATCATAGTCTCTTAAGTATGCCTCTGTCCAAGAGTTCTCGAATCCACTGGGCATGGTACAGCGTGTGTCTCTCTGCTGGTATCCGTACCTGCTCCGCTGTGATGCCGCTGAACACACTCTGGGCGTCCACGCAAGCCTCCAGATCAATTGCTGGCTTAATACTGGCTTCACTTCCATCAACCATATCTCGCAATTGCCTGGCCGTCAGTTCTCCAGTCTGAACCTCCGTCAGGAAACCGGCCAGCAGTAATAGATAATCACAGCAATCTGATAGCTGACATAACTCTGCTCCCCAAGTGGATCGCACCACATGAGCTTGTTTCCGTGAGAAATACTCCAAAACATTGCATCTGCCTCCAAGCTCCTGCTTCGTCTCGATCAGTAAATAAACACCTCCACGCATAGCCAAACCCTTGTCGTCGGGTTCTCTCCGAAAGGCCGCATCTCCAACGGCCATCAGCTTCACAGGGGAAGTCAACCTCTGTGCCGTCAAAACCAGAGGATTCTCATTCATATACTTGAGCAGCACGTTCATCTTGCTAATATGTCCAACCTTCGGTGCCTTGCCGTGTCGTTGGAGTGCTGCGACATGAATACATATGTCAATCCTCGTCGTGATACACCACGCGATAGCTCCAAGCAAAGATGGGTAGAGCTTCGCGTGCTTCTCCGGTGGATCGTCGTCGTCTCCCCGGCCTTGCAATTCCTTTTCGTCGATACAATTCAAATTCTTGATATACTCAGTTTGGTCAACCTCGATGCTCATGTCCTCCAGCTGTCTGTGGCGCAGGCCACAGTGCACGAAATTGCTCTCACTCATAGTCATCTTGCCGAAAACTGCCTCCAGTGATGCAATCATCTCGCCGGTCGCCTTGTCGGTCCCCGCGTACTTCAAATCGTCTAGACGTGTAGAAACAACCATCACCAAAACCCCCTGGATGTGCTTCAGCCAGAGTTGGGGGCCCGCATGTGTTGGCCTAAGCCCACTCGACAACAAAACTTGATCACGTCGAAGTCCGAATAACCTCGGGGCGTCATTGAGACCAAATCCTCCTTTCTCCATATGCAGGACCTCCAAAATCGAGTTGAAACCCTCGAAGCCTTCCACTTCACATAACAGCTCGGCTGTGCCCTTCGGCAGCTCAAAGCAAATATCTCTAATCGGTTCGTTGAGCAGCTTCGCAACCTCCTCGAAAGTCATTCCCTGCAGGAAAGCCGACGATATGTCCGCACTACATAGCTTCCAACGATGCTGCGCCGCAAGAATATTCACCACTCTCTGTCCCCATCTCGTGCTGGTGGCGGTGAACGTCTTCACCTCGTCCTTGTGCCGGTCTTTGAATCCACGTACCGTAAGCCTGCATCGTATGATCCTGGTCATAGTTCCGTCTGCTGCTTGTACCCATTTCCATTTATCGACCCACCTCGCGTCGATGAGATTCCTGGCTTGCTTACGAGGCCGCCTCGACATGGCTTTGAATCCTGCCCAGTGCCGTAGCTCCTTAAGTCGTGCCGCTCGAACTGCTTCTCGGTGTTCGATCTTCTCGGTAGGCGTCAGCAGGTTGCCATCTCTCTCTATCACGGCCTTGGCGGATCCATCCTCGTAGAAACTTAACGCAGCCACATCGTCCCCGTGCGTAGGGTCTCCGTTGATGGTCGGCTCGTTTAGCATCTGCCAGGCTCCTGCTGCGAATCCTATCTGGAAGACCTTCTCCGGTTGTAGTGACTCCACTATGTCGTCGGTCGCCTTCGCGCGCGTGGTACTCTGCGTGTTCCAGGCCTCTATTACGTCGTAGTCCTGGATGATCTCGTTCCGCTCGAGAACGGACACGTCTGGCTCTTCCGTGAGGTAGCCGATCATGTCCAGGAAGTCGCTCTCGTCTACGTCCCTCGCCAAGTCCGAGTCCTCCTTCGGTATTGCCCAGAAGGCCTCCAGGCTGTACAGCTCTTCTGACGACGACGCTGCCTCCGCTGGAACCGTGCTACCGCTGGCTGGCGTGCTGGCGCCATCGTCTGCTGCTTGAGTAGGTTCAGCTGGCGTTGGCAGCCCGGGAGGTAGGTAGCTCTGGTCTATCTGGCGGTTCGTCTTCCAACCTTCTTGCTAGATGCTCTGCTGGGTTCTCCGAGCCTTGCGATCCTTCCGAACGGGCCCTTTTCCGTATCTCTCGATGTTCGCGCATCCATGCGTCAACTCCTGGTAGGTGAGGTCCACCCATGTGTGGTATTTGCGGGGCCTGTCCTTGCAAAACATCCAGAACATCAGGCTCCACAGTCAGGAACTGCATGAAGTAGCACGAAGCCCATTCCTTCTCGCCGAAGATATATCGAAGGCTGAGATGTTCTGCTGCAGATCCTTCACCATAACACATGGCCTCCACTCCTGACTCTCCTTTGTCCAGACGCCTCGCAGTCCACCAACACAAAGTGTAGTGCTCGAAATCGTGAAGTCCAGGAAGCGTTGGTACTTTTCTGCCAACTCGGGCGGCCACTGCTCCGTTGATATGTAGCCCACAAGAGGCGACTTGAAGCATGGCAGCCACCACGATGGGATAGCTCTTAGAGATCTTCGTCAGGGCCCATCCCGGTGACGTGCTCGCCCAGCCAAGATGCTCGCAACCTTCTCTGATATTATGTACGAAATCCAATAGGATCAGCGCTGGGTCGCTCTCCACCGCCATGAAAGATACGGAATAGCTATACAGTATTGCACGTCTGACATCAGGAGTGTTGACTATCATGTCGCGTCCCTGCCAGTGTATGGTGATCGTCCCCGTCTCTGGTGCTTGTGCCGAGACAACTTTGGCTGGCCCCTTCCAGCTCGGCACGTCCTTGGGCGCTTTCCCCGGCTTGTGGAAGTCCACGAGGTCTCCGATCTCCAAATGCAAATCCTCCGTCGCCGGGGCCGTTCGTGCCTTGGCAGCTCGCTCCGTCCTCGCCTGCGCCGTGGCCTCGATGATCGACATGGTCGCGATCTCTCGAAGCCTCTGCGAGTGCCTGAACATCGCCAGTCCATCTTCATCATCCAACTCTTGAGCTCCACTCCTGTCGAAGTCCCTGAGCACGAGAGGCACACGTCCATAAAGTGCTTTGTATGGCGTGCCTTCTCCAATGGTCAGGAACGAGTTCTTGGCGAGGACTGCTTCGGCCAATCTTCGAGCGAAGGGCAGCTTGATGCCGAGCTCTCGGAGATGTGCGTCTATGACATGCATCTGTCGGCGTAGTATATCGTGATGCCGTTCAACCACTTGCGCATGTTGTCCTGGGGCCTTCAGTTTGCGCGTGGTTCCCATGCGTCCGAGAGCCACTCCAGCCTCTTCGGAGGCCATAGCTCCTTCGCCTTCGACGGTCAGTACCGCCATAGGCCCGAAGACCTGCATCCAGTTCACCCATGTGAAATCCAAGAGCGTCTCGATCGTCTTGTCTGGGAGTTCTCGCGCCACGGTGAACCTGATACAACCGTCGATGAGATGTCCAACAACGCGTTTTTCATATAATAGAAGATCCAACTGCACCTCGTCGTTGAACTGTACACTCAGCTTGATCGTCGTGGTCGCCCTGGTTCCCTTCTTCATCCACAATCGGCAAACTCTGCAGGTATCCACGATGTCGTCGACCATCTGCAAGACCTTAGGCGGCACGCCTCCGGCTGAGAGCATGCGCTTCATGGCCTTCTTGTTGGCGTGGAACCACCTCAGATGCAGTCGACGTAGCACTCTTCGTGTCACTGCCTCGTTGTTGCCGAACAGCGCCCGCCGGGCGGATCCAAGATCCCAGCTCGACCAGTCCACCTCCATACCTTGATCTGCTTCAGGTCGTGCTGGCGAGTCTGGGACATCGGCAGCGTCCACCGGTCCGTCTGGTCTTGGTTCAGCTGCTCCTGGCGCTGGGTCGTGGGCAGCTGCTCGTGCTCGTCGGCGTCCCCCTCCAGCTGGTCTTTGGCCCACTTCAGTTGCCCATCTACACTGTCCTGCCACGAGAGTATGTCCAGGTGCGTCTTCGGGTTTGCCTCGCTGGCACTGCTTGCATCTCCACGTTCGTACTCCCGGCGTGGCTATCCGACATTTTCCAGGCACCCGAGAATGTGGAACATGAGCTCCGTTGCACGCTCGGCATTCCCATTCTCGCACTCGTCGTAGCTGCGTCCTCGGATCTGGGGGCCGAATCGCTGCCGCCGGTGGTCCTGGTGCTGGT